AGGGAGGTGGAGGGGGCGGGGCCTAAGGAGGCCATATTGCGACCCCTCGAAAATTGCCTCGCGACCCCTCTAAGGGTCGCGACCCCCAGGTTGAGAAACGCTGCTTTAGGTGCTCTTACTGCCTATTATAGGGAAAACCAGCTGACTCTTAATCCATCTGAAATGCAGACGTGTGCTTTTCACCTTAAGAACAGACAAGCATCTCAAGCTCTGAGAATTACCTGGGAACCGTTCTCTGACTTACAAGAAGCACTGCTTTAATATCAAGCAAAAAGTAGATGCTAGAAATATCATACGATAGCTGACCGGCACAACCTGGGGATCACAACCAGATACAGTGAAGACATCTGCCCTTGTGCTTTGCTACTCTGCTGCTGTGTATGCATGCCCAGTGTAGAATACATCTCACAACATTGAAACTGTGGATGTTAACACAGTGGATGTGCCTCTTAATGAGACATGCCGCATTATCACAGGATGTCTATGCTCAACACCACTAGAGAAATTATACTGTTTAGCTGGTATTGCACCACCTGACATCAGTCAGGAAGTAGCAACCAGTAATGAAAGGACCAAGGTATGTACATCTCCAGCCCATCCTCTGTTTGGATATCAGCCAGCAAGCCAACGCCTTAAATTAAGAAATAGCTTCCAAAGTTCCACAGAGATACTTGTAAGAACACTTCAGCAAGCAAGAGTCCAAAAGTGACAGTTTAAAACCCAGAACCTCAATCAGTGGCTGAGACAGGATGAGAAACTCCCTCCTGGGCACACAAAAGACTGGGCAACTTGTAAGAAGCTGAACAGGCTGCACTCTGGCACCACGAGATGCAGAGCCAATCTTAAGAAATGGGGCTACAAAGTATGGAATATGGAGAAGAGCAAACCACAGACCACTTACATGTGGTCTGAACCCAGCCACATGCACAACGGAGGACCTTCTCACAGTGACACCAGGAGCACTCCAAGTGGCCAGCTTCTGGTCAAAGGACATTTAGTATAATGCCAAGTTTTTACCTTCGTGTTTTTTAAATACATCATAACTGTACCCTCAATTCACTTCTGACATGATAAATAAATAAATAAATAAATATTCTCCTAGAATTTCTTTCAGAACTAAATAATAAACCTGTCAACGGAATTAGCAATTTTGAAAATTTCTTCACAAACTGAAATGCAAATTAAAATTGGGGATTTTTGATTAATTCACCATTCCGTACTATTACCCCTGTGAATTTAAAGCACTGAGAAACACTCTCCCTGAGTTAGTGGCTTTGGACTGAAAAGGTGTATTTTTCTTGCCATAGAGATAATGGTTTGCTCGTGCTGTACCTTGTTCAAAGGGGCTAACTGTCGAACGGGTAGATTCCAGAGGATGCATTTTCGATTCTGCCAAAGAAAGACAAAAAGGGTAAACTGCCAATGAAAGAGACTCTGTTCTACAATTTTACTAGTAAGAAAAAACAGGCATATTAAAAATGGAGAAGGAGTGTGGAAACAAGAAAAAAGTTACTTGTCAAGATGGTAGAAGTAGTTTCATATAAAGGCGGGAGCACGGTTAATGGGTCCAGCACAGCCCCATCTTCGGTGAAAAACTCATCGAAGGTCCACTCTGTGAAAGGGTCTTTGTCAGCTCCCAAAGAGGTTTCCTAAAGACAGGAGAAAATCATTTTTGTAAAAATGGGAGAAAGAGTCAAAGAAGGAATGGCTCATCTTGCCAGGTCCTCAGCAGCCAAGGAACTCTGCTTCTTGCTTGTTTCTTCTTCTAGGGAAGGCAGAAGAGTCAAGAAGGAACCCAACTGGTTTGGACTGCTCCCTGGCCATTCCCTGTACAATATGGAAGATGGTATCTCTTATCTATACATTGACTATGGGCAAACCTTTGAGGACACAAAAAAGACCAAAAATATGAATACTGCCCATATATACATTATTATTATTATTATTATTATTATTATTATTATTAAACTTTATTTGTATCCCGCTAGCATCTCCCGAAGGACTTGATGCGGCTTACAAAGGCCAAATCCTCAACACACAATATACAATACAAAACCTAAAGCAAATTAAAACAATTAAAGCAATATAAATAACAGGCAATAACAATACACTAAGACAAAATAAAACTGGTCCGGGCCGGAGTAATGGGTACAAGATTAAAAGTGCTGATGTGACAGGTGGTATATAAGGTATTATAGGGCAAGTGCAGTGTGCAGCGTGCAGCAATCTTAATACTAGTAAAGTGCTTATGGGACTTGATATTGGAGATTTCCTAATCCGGGAAGGCACATCGGAACAGCCAGGTCTTCAGGTTCTTTCTGAAGACTGCCAATGTAGGGGCCTGTCTAAGATCTTTGGGGAGGGTGTTCCAGAGTCGGGGGGCCACCACGGAAAAGGTCCTGTCTCGTGTCCCCACCAAGCGCGCTTGCGACGCAGGTGGGATCACGAGCAAGGCCTCTCCAGATGACTGAAGTGAACGCATGGGTTTGTAGATGGAGATGCGGTCACGCAGATAGGATGGTCCCAAACCGTTCAGGGCTTTGTAGGTAAGCACCTGCACCTTAAACTGGGCTCGGAAAATAAACGGCAGCCAGTGGAGCTCCTTGAACAGGAGGGTTGACCTCTCTCTGTAAGGGGCCCCAGTTAACATCCTGGCTGCTGATCGTTGGACCAGCTGGAACTTCCGAGCCGTTTTCAAGGGCAGCCCCACGTAGAGCGCATTGCAGTAGTCCAATCTGGAGGTGACCAAGGCATGGACCACCCCGGCCAAATCAGCCTTCGGAAGGTACGGTCGCAGTTGGCGCACGAGTCTCAATTGTGCGAAAGCCCTCCCAGACACTACCGATGCCTGAGCCTCAAGCGTAAGCGATGAATCCAAGAGGACTCCCAAACTGCGGACCTGTGGCTTCAGGGGGAGTGTAACCCCGTCCAGCACAGGTTGCCACCCTATACCCCGGTCAGGCTTACGATCGACCAGAAGGACCTCTGTCTTGTCGGGATTGATCTTCAGCTTGTTCCTCCTCATCCAGATAGACACAGCGGCCAGGCACTCGTCCAGCACCCGAGAGGCCTCCTTGGAATTAGGTGGAAAGGAGTAGTAGAGTTGTGTGTCATCTGCGTAGAGGTGGCACCCAACTCCAAAACTCCGGATGACCTCTCCCAGCGGTTTCATGTAGATGTTAAAGAGCATGGGAGACAGAATAGAGCCTTGCGAGACCCCACAGGTCAAAGGCCAGGGGTCCGAGCAGGCGTCTCCCAGCTTCACCATCTGGGATCGACCCTCCAGGAAGGACGGAGCCACGACAAAACCGTGCCCCCGAGACCCATCCCAGAGAGTCGACCCAGAAGGATACCATGATCGATGGTATCGAAAGCTGAGATGTCCAAGAGAACCAACAAGGTCACACTCCCCCTGTCCAGCTCTCTACGGAGGTCATCCACCAAGGCGACCAAGGCTGTCTCGGTGCCGTGACCAGGCCTGAAACCAGACTGTGACTGATCTAGGTAGTTGATTCTGTATATATACATTCTGTATATATACCTATCCACCCCACATTTAAGAAACTTTGGACAATGATGGACTAGCATGCCTTAATTAGATTTCAAATGTTTATACTGAATGGCAGAGGATTTTTATAGGAGTGTTTCCCCTGTAGAATGGGGAGGAAGGCTGCATTATTATTATTATTATTATTATTGATTATAATAATAATTAATAATTTGCCCCCAAGCTTTGGTTGGGGGAACTAGTATACTTTAGTATTACCCTTGTTTTTAGTTCTGATATATCTCAGAATTAAAAAGAAACTCACTCAAGGGCAGGAATGAAATGTTACATTTTGTTGATGTGGTCTCGTATATATGTTTTCTTATATGTACTTTAACAGCGCTGTGTTTTGACCCTATTGTACTCTGCCTCGAGCCACAAGGAGTATCAGGCAGTAAATACATCATCATCATCATTATTACGAAAGCAGGCGTCAAAAATTATTTATTATTTATTTATTATTTATTTACTACATTTATATACCGTTTCCAACATTATAAAGGCAAAATTCAATGCTGTACATACATGTGAAAACCAAAAGATATTACCCAGACAATAACATATAACTATAAATTAACCTAACCAAATTAAAACATAAACCTAAAAGAACATTTAGACGCAAAGCATAAAAAATTAAACATCAATAATATAATAGCATTTATACTAAAACCCACCGATAAACAACACAATTTAAAAACAGTTATTAAATCATGCCAAATAGCCTGAAAATAATCTGGAACAGATCCACTGTATAGATTTTTTTTAAATGGGAACTATAAAAAATGATAATATCCAGCAACCTGCTTTTGCTCCATGGGGTGGAGACCAGGGAGTCCTCTAGCATTCTGAGCTTCAAAATGGAAGAGGAAGGCTACAGTCCTATGTCTTTCTCTAGAAGCACAACTAAAACCAGCAAGGCTTATATCTGAGTAAAAAATGAGCCCTGTGTTACCTTCAGTATAAATCCAGTGTCTTCAATCTGGCATTTTTCCAAAAGTTCATGGGCCAACAAGGTATATTTGGAAAGTTCCATGGCATCAAAGAGAAGATCTGTAAGAAAAAGCAATCGTTTCAAAAATTTCTACAGAAGAAACATACACTGTAAATACTGAGGAGAAATTCTACTGTGCGTATGCTTCCCATTGCAGTTACTTTTACTGTCTTCTCCTTTAAGAGTTTAAACATTTTTGCTTGCATTTTGTGCAGTTGAGTAGGCACAACAAAGGCATTGCTGTTTTCTGGATTTTATTTTGCTGCATGACCAATCCTTGGATATGCTTCCTAGAACTGGAAATATTATATATACATTTTATCATGCTTTCGTCGGGTAAAGAATTGGTTGCATATTTATGTTTGGCAGCATATTTACTACATGCAATTGGAAAGGCTGCCATCTGCAAAGGCTGTCTCTATGCAGATGACACACAACGCTACTACTCTTTTCCACCACAATCCAAGGAAACTCCCCGGATCCTGGAACAATGCCTGGCTGCTGTGAAGAACTGGATGAGGGCTAACAAGCTGAGGCTAAATCCAGACAAGACCGACCTCAACTGGTCAGTCACAAGACCAGTCAAGGTCTAGGGTGGCAATCTGTGCTTGACAGGTCCACCATCTGGGGGTCCTCCTAGACTCAGTGCTGACGCTTGAAGCTCAGGTGTCAGCAGTGGCTGGGAGGACCTTTGCAAAGTTAAAGCTTGTGTACCTCGAAGACCCAGACTTGGCCATGGTGGTCCACACCTTAGTTACATCAAGAATAGACTACTGCAATGAACTCTATGTGGGGCTGCCTTTCAAGATGGCTCAGAAACTGAAATTAGTGCAAAGGTCAGCAAACAGACTACTAACGGGGGCTAGCTATAGGAGCATACCATGCCGCTAATAAAGCAGCTCCACTGGCTGACAACAAGTTTCCCATCCCAATTCAAAGTGCAAGCTATCACCTACAAAGCCCTACATTGTTTGGGTCCAGCCTATCTTTTTGACAGCACCCCCCCCCCCACCCAAAATTAACCTATGCAGACATTAAGATCTGTTAGAGAGGTCCTCCTCACGGTCTTACCTCCATCTCAAGTGCGGCTGGTGAGAATGAGAGAAAGGGCCTTTTTGGTGGTGATCCTCTGTCTTTGGAATGCCCTCTCCAGGGAAATCAGGCAAGCCCTCACATTACAATGTTTTTGCAAGGAGCTAAAAACATGGCACTTCAGACAGGCCTTTAGAAATGATTAAGACATCTGCTACTCTAAGCACCAAACAATCTAATATTGTCACTAGCACTTTAATGGTTTAATTGGGCTACAGCTGGGGTGCTATATTATTTGATTTAATGGTAATTATTACTGTGTTTTATTGATTTTTAAATTGGACTTTTGCATTGTGTTGTCTTTATCTAAACTGTTGTTGTCATTGTTTAATATGTGATGTAGTTTTACCTCTTCTCTTATATGTTATGGCACATGTACTTCTGTAAGCCACCCAGAGTCCTTCTGGTAAATAATGGTGGAATATAAATAGAATCATAGAATCAAAGAGTTGGAAGAGACCTCATGGGCCATCCAGTCCGACCCCCTGCCAAGAAGCAGGAATATTGCATTCAAATCACCCCTGACAGACGGCCATCCAGCCTCTGCTTAAAAGCCACCAAAGAAGAAGCCTCCACCACACTCCGGGGCAGAGAGTTCCACTGCTGAACGGCTCTCACAGTCAGGAAGTTCTTCCTCATGTTCAGATGGAATCTCCTCTCTTGTAATTTGAAGCCATTGTTCCGCATCCTAGTCTCCAGGGAAGCAGAAAACAAGCTTGCTCCCTCCTCCCTGTGACTTGCTCTCACATATTTGTACATGGCTATCATGTCCCCTCGCAGCCTTCTCTTCTTCAGGCTAAACGTGCCCAGCTCCTTAAGCCGCTCCTCATAGGGCTTGTTCTCCAGACCTTTTATCATTTTAGTCGCTCTCCTCTGGACACATTCCAGCTTGTCAATATCTCTCTTGAATTGTGGTGCCCAGAATTGGACACAATATTCCAGATGTGGTCTAACTAAAACAGAATAGAGGGGTAGCATTACTTCCCTAGATTTAGACACTATGCTCCTATTGATGCAGGCCAAAATCCCATTGGCTTTTTTTGCCGCCACATCACATTGTTGGCTCATGTTTAACTTGTTGTCCACGAGGACTCCAAGATCTTTTTCACACGTACTGCTCTCGAGCCAGGCCGTCCCCCATTCTATATCTTTGCATTTCGTTTTTTTCTGCCTAAGTGGAATATCTTGCATTTGTCACTGTTAAACCTTCATTTTGTTAGTTTTGGCCCATCTCTCTAATCTGTCAAGATCGTTTTGAATCCTGCTCCTGTCCTCTGGAGTATTGGCTATCCCTCCCAATTTGGTGTCGTCTGCAAACTTGATGATCATGCCTTCTAACCCTTCATCTAAGTCATTAATAAAGATGTTGAACAGGACCGGGCCCAGGACGGAACCCTGCGGCACTCCGCTCGTCACTTCTTTCCAGGATAAAGAGGAAGCATTGGTGAGCACCCTCTGGGTTCGTCCATTTAACCAATTACAGATCCACCTCACCGTAGTTTTGCCTAGCCCACATTGGACTAGTTTCCTTGCCAGAAGGTCATGGGGGACCTTGTCGAAGGCCTTACTGAAATCCAGGTACGCTACATCCACGGCATTCCCCGCATTTACCCAGCTTGTAACTCTATCGAAAAAGAGATCAGATTAGTCTGGCATGACTTGTTTTTGATAAATCCATGTTGACTATTAGCAATGACGCATTTGTTTCTAAGTGTTTGCAGACCACTTCCTTAACAATCTTTTCCAGAATCTTGCCTGGTATTGACGTGAGGCTGACCGGACGGTAGTTGTTTGGGTCATCCTTTTTTCCCTTCTTGAAGATTGGGACCACATTGGCCCTCCTCCAATCTGCTGGAACTTCTCCTGTTCTCCAAGAACTCTCAAAGATGATTGCCAATGGTTCCGAAATGACTTCCGCTAGTTCCTTCAATACTCTTGGGTGTAGTTGATCTGGCCCTGGGGACTTGAACTCATTTAGAGCGCCAGGTATTCCTGGACGACTTCTTTCCCAATTTGGAGTTGGATGTCCTCCAATCCCTCATCCACTCCATCTTGCTGAGGTTGAAGATGACTTTCTTTTTGTGAGAAGACCGAGGCAAAGAAGGCATTAAGTAGTTCTGCCTCTTCCCTATCCCCTGTCAGCATTGCCCCATCTTCTCCTCGAAGAGGTCCTATCGCCTCCTTGTTTTTCCTTTTTCTACTGACATAAGAAAAAGCCCTTTTTATTGTTTTTAATGTCCCTGGCAAGCCTGAGCTCGTTTTGTGCTTTAGCCTTGCGGACCTTTTCCCTACAGGTGTTGGCTATTTGTTTGAATTCTTCGTTGGTGATTTCTCCCTTTTTCCACTTCTTGTGCATGTCTCTTTTGTGTCTTAGCACAGTTAGAAGTTCTTTGGACATCCATTCTGGCTTCTTTGCACTTGTCCTATTTTTTTCTTTGTTGTTGGCACGGTTTGCAATTGCGCCTTGAGTATTTCACTCTTGAGAAATTCCCATCCATCCGTAACTCCCTTCTCTTTTAGTATCTGTGTCCACGGAATGCTGCTCAGCGTTTCCTTCATTTTTTTTGCACTTGTCCTATTTTTTCTCTTTGTTGGCACGGTTTGCAATTGCGCCTTGAATATTTCACTCTTGAGAAATTCCCATCCATCCGTAACTCCCTTGTCTTTTAGTATCTGTGTCCACGGAATGCTGCTCAGTGTTTCCTTCATTTTTTGGAAATCAGCTCTCCTAAAGTCCAAAATGCGGGTTTGACTTGTCTTAGTTTCGGCCTTCCTTTGTACCTCAAATTGCAGGAGCACATGGTCACTTGCCCCTAAGGATCCTACCACCTCAACCGCATCGATCAGGTCCTCCACATTTGTTAGGATGATAATAATAATTGTTGTTGTTCAATGGATATATAAGAGTTTGGAACATATTGCACAGAAGGAGAATGAAGTGAAAAAGTAAAACTAGACTTGTCTAAATTCAAGTTAATTAGTTGTTGTTATTGTTATCATTGTCTCCTGTTTTATCTCTCTAAAAAAGAAATTCAAAGCAACCAATACCATACAATTAAAAAACTATATTAGGCCGAAGGAGAATAAAGTGAAAAGGCTAAACTGGACCAGCCTAAATTCTATGAGACTTGGTTCAAGTTCATTAGTTATTATTATTATTATTTGTCTCCTACTTTATCTCTCTAAAAAAGAACTCCAAGTGGCTCGCATCAAAACCAATGCAATATAATGTATCACCTAAAAATATACTAACATTAACATAGAATTAAACATGAACAATATTAAAAATAAAGTTAAACCCCTGAAACCAATTCAAAACCTATCCATGTAGTTATGTCACTGATGCACTCTGGCCTGAAGTCACCTTTGCACTCAGCACCACACAAGAGTCCAGTATTACTAACGAAACAGTTTATTGAAGAAAACAAATGTAAAAGGCAAAAAGCAATGTAAAAAGCAATGTCCAAAAAGCAATAGGAAAAAGGCTTTCAAAATGCAATAGTCAAAACACCAAAGTTCAGTCCAAAAGTGACAAGGTACATGGAAAAAAACCAGGAATAAAAACACAGACATAAATCCATAACCAGGAACTTCTTCCAAAGCATGAATCCATGAACATAAGCATAAAACATGAATCCATGAACATGAGCATCTTTGGGAAGGATAAAAATCTTAGACATAGACTTGAACGTAGAGCAAAAACAAGATCCGAGGTGTACACGGTAACACAGTGTTGCCTGTTCTAACCTGTTCAGTAAACAACAATTTAATTTAAGGTTGACAAGCCTTGAAGTCGTGCCTCTGACATCTGGTCTGTTTCTCATGGAGTCTCTGTGACCTCCGTAATCTGACTCCCTCCTCCCAGAGGTCGAGTCTCAAACTCCTACTGACCTCAGGTGTTTTCCCAGGGGAAAGATCTTTCTCTTCCAGCTCCTTATCTTGTTACCAAGGAACAACCAGGGGAAATGTCTTCCCTATCTGCCAATGCCCAGATATCTCCATCTCCTCCCTGCTCTGAAGCCGTTTCTTTCTGACCAGACACAGACCCATCCTCCCAGACAGAATAATGATCCAAAATCCCCTCATTTCCCACACTGGAAAGCCCATTATTCCTCACAACCTCTAACTGAACAATCCCCTAGTCTTCAGCCTCTGGTTGAACCACAACACTCACTGAAAATAGCCATTTTTTCGGTTCCCCTTCCTCATGTTGATTTTATCCCTTTTTCAATTCTGCATCCCAAAACCTTCACTCATTTCAAGCACAGAGCCTCGGTCTCTCATTCTCTGAGAAGTTTTCTCCAACCTGCTCTTTTAGAGGCCATTTCCCCAATCAGACTATTATAAATGATCAGTTAATAATTAGAATGAGTTACCGGGACTGCAGACCATCACCGCCTGAATGGCCATTTCATGGATTGCTGCAGAAAGATTCAATCCTTTGGGCACAACGAGTGGACCACCAGAAGCCAATATGTGACAGAGCTTTCGGCATGCCAAGAACAACAACTTCCCTGTTTGTTCGTTGTGGTGATGTTCATTAAGATCCCTAATGAGAAAAGAGGTTTTATCAAAACAAACGCCAACACATTGCCCGTCTGTATCTTGAAAGATAATGGCGAAGCAGAAAAAAAGACGTTAAGGCCAGTCATGACTTTGTTTCCTAACCTGCAAATGTTGAGTGCTTCTTCGACGTTTCCTGCATCCAGCACTCTCAGGGCCAGCTCTGTTCCCATCTCATGCTCCGTCCTTTGCAGAAGACCCGCCAGTCTGTAAAGCCCACATCGAGCCAGCTCTTGCCTCTTCACCCCACTGTTCTCCAAGCTGGTCTTTTCTTCTGTTTTTTTAAACCTCTTGGCATTATAGGTCTCTATCTTCTCTTGGAGGAGGCGAGTCATCAGTGGCAGATTCTCATAATCTTTGGGAGATACGTAGATGTCAAAATTACCCTGAACAAAAAGTAGATGGAAGAAAAAACATGAGGGTGAGGAATAGTGGACCTGAGCAAGGCTTAATTGGAACATGGAAGCTACTGTATTTCATCACAAAACAATCACATTTTTTCCTATTTCGATAGAAAAAAGGAGGTGCAACTATTACATGATCAAAAAATACTGTGATTCTTTGGCTTGTTTTTAAAAAAACTACCCCACCTTACCTCCCAGACAGGAGGAGGAAAAGGAAGGATCCAGCCTCCGACAGACAGCTCAATTTATGTTATGTTATGTTTGTTTGTTTAAACCGCCTTGCTTCAGAGAAAGGAGGAAGGACGACTCTTTCTCTGAAGGCAACACAGTTTACAAAATCTGAAATTGATCTCATTGTAGGAAGGAGGGGAGAGTGGAGCTCCAGAAACCTCCATTTCATAGTTTTTAAACTGTCCTTTGGAGAAGGAAGGAGGGAATCAGCCCAAAAGGCTCTATGACTATTATGCGAAGAACACAGAAATGCCAATTCTGCCACCGCAAAAAGAAGGTGTAATTATTATGCAATGAAATACATTCTCTGTTGAGAATTGGAAGGGTCCCTACAATTTCTGGCAATGATTCTCAATGGCCGGAACCAAGCACAGCCTCCAAGATGCCGAAGATGAGAAAGGCTATATATACTTCTTTCTATGTACAGTTGTCTGTCCTGTCAGTGTATAATGGCATTGAATGTTTGCTGTATATGTGTTCTGTGATCTGCTCTGAGTCCCCTTTGGGGCGAGAAGGGAGGAATATAAATACTGTAGAAAATAAAAATAAATATATAAAATGTCAGCATTCTCTGCAGCCAGAGATCCTTTAAAATAGGCACAGCCAGGGCACGAACCACAGGCATCTTCCAGAGGCCACTTTTGGATTCCTGAAGTCCCAGAAAGGGGGGGAAACTGTCCCAAATGAGAATTAGCATTCTTAGACACAGCAATTACCTTCCAAACAAGAAAGGAATCTAAATACTGTAGAAAATAAAAATATAAAATTTCAGCATTCTCTGCAGCCAGAGATCCTTTAAAATAGGCACAGCCAGGGCATGAACCACAGACATCTTCCAGAGGCCACTTTTGGATTCCTGAACCCCCAGAAAGGGGGAAAAACTGTCCCAAATGAGAATTAGCATTCTTAGACACAGGAATTACCTTCCAAACAAAATATATTTACATTCCCTCCACTGCACAAATAAATCCCTTTATATGTTTTTGAATGCGACACAAAACTTACCTGCAAGGCTTTAAGCATTTTAAAGCATTTTAAGTCAGCTTCATACTCTTCTGTCTTCCCAAGATTTCCTATCGTCCAAAAGAAGTGGAGGGAAAGAAGAGTGGTTATTGCACGGCTTATGGCAATGAAGTAAAAGAGTAGCAGAAACAATGCAAGGTTTACCTTTCTGGTGACTAAGCAGGAACTTGAGGACCTCCACCAGGATATTTTTTAAATATAGCTGCCTATTCCGCTAGAAAAGTAGAAGAGATGGGAAGAGAAAGAATGACAAAAACTCTGTTAACAACTCTAGTTGTACCAAGAGCAATGTTTTACTTTCAAAACTGAGACCAAAAATGAGAGGGAGGGATATTACACTGTTGCATCTTGTTTCAGATTGAGTATTGGCAATCTACTGTCGGACAGATGGCAAGTTATTTAACCTCAGCAGACAAAAGTCAAAACCAAGTCACAACATCTGCTACAGAACTCCAATATGGTGATGATAACGTAGTCTGTGCACCCTAAAAGCCATTCTAAACACCTTTGCAAAAGCATAAGAGAAGCTCAGCCTCTCATTGAACATCGAGAAAACCAAAGTGGTCTTCCACCAGCCAATCCCTCTCCAATGCCAGAAATACAGCTTGATGGTGTAACATTAGGAAATGTTGTCCATTTCTGCTACCGTGGCAGCCACCTCTCCACAAAAGTCAACATTGTCACTGAAATACAACACTGCCTGAGCTCTGCGAGAGCAGCATTTTTCCGAATGAATCAGAGCATGTTTGAGGATCGGGACATCTGTAGGGATATCAAGGTGCTTGTTTATAAAGCTATTGTCCTCCCAATCCTGCTATATGCCTGCGAAACATGGCCCGTTTACAGATATCACACTCAACTCCTGGAACGATTCCATCAGCGTTGCCTCTGAAAAATCCTGCAAATCTCTTAGGAAGACAGGTGAGCAAATGTCAGCGAGCTAGAAGAAGCAAAGACTACCAGCATTGAAGCTATGGTCCTCCGTCATCAACTCTGCTGGACCGGCCACATTGCCCGAATGCCCAAAGATCACTGTCTTCCAAAGAAGTACTCTCAACTCAAGAATGGAAAATGGAATGTTGCTGGACAGGAAAAGAGATTTAAAGATGGGCTCAAAGCCAACCTTCAAAACGGTGACATAGACATCGAAAACGGTGAAGCCCTGGCCCTTGAGCACTCTAACTGAGGTTAGCTATGACCAGCAGTGCTGTGGTATTTGAAGAGGCATGAATGGAGGAAGAAAGGGAGAAATGTGCCAAGCCAATCTTGATCAAGACAGCCTTTCACCTAGAAACTGATATCCTCACTGTGGAAGAACATGCGGGTCAAGAACAGGACTCCACAGCCACCTACGGACCCAACGCCAATACACTACACTTGGAGGGCCATCATACTTGGACAATGAGGGATTGCCTTAGTAAAGTAAATTGGTTTTATAGTTGTTACCTCTTCTTCACTGTCAAACATTTCTGCCTCCAGTTCCAGTCTTCCCCACGTCACTGTCCTATCTGCAATCTCCATAGCTTCGGCAGCAGGAAGAGACCTTAATAAGTTGATAACATCATCTCTCTGCAAGAGCATGGAAAGTAGTGTCACTCTGGATAGAGCCCATAACCTTTGGAATAAAGCTCTCTTCATCCAATGCTAAAACGGGTGTTGGAGAGACGTCTGGCTTTGCTTCAGGCAACAAATAATATTATTGACAAATAATAAAAGACGAATGCGGCAGAGATCGAGAAAGGAAATACAGATACCAGAGAGGAACTGAGAGAGTCCAACCTCACTGTCACCCACTTATCCCAGTTTAAGATTGAAACACCAGTGTATTATTATTACTGCCCTCCTTTTTCTCTTTCAAAGCAGCTTACAATAAAACCAATACAATATCATTTAAAACCTAAAAATATACAGACAATAAAATAGAATTAAATATTAATGGAATTAAAAATAAACACTTAAAAACCCTTAAAACTAATTAAAAACCTATTCATAGCCAAAACGACAGCACCCCCTGACTTGATCTTAAAGAGTCACCTGACTACATGTGTGTTCCAATCGTGTGAGAGAGAACGAGAGAGACAAAAAGACTGCCAGATAGATCAAGGTAGGAATTACGTAGCCCTCCTGATGCTTTTGAACTAGAGTTTTAGAGTTTTTAAATACTGTTAGCCTGATTTTGTTCATTTTCATTGTTTCTTCCTTTCTGTTGAAATGGTCCACATGCTTGTGGATTTCAGTGGCTTCTCTGTGTAGTCTAACACGGTGGTTGTTAGAGTGGTCCAGCATTTCTGAGTTCTCAAATAACATTCTGTGCCCGGGTTGAACAAAATCTGGCTACCAGTATTTAAAAACTCTAAAATCAGGACAGTAAACAAAGAACAACACTCAGAAAACAGGGGAATTCCAGACAGGAAACAATCGGGGCCAGCTAACACCTCCCAACAAAGGATCCCCCCAGGAAGAAAGCAGCCAAAATTTGAAGCTGCAAGGCTATTCAATGCTAATAAAGGTGGCAAATTGCAACATTCACACTTGCCTCAAACAGACAAGAGTTCTTTCTCCCACCCTGGACATTATTCCACAGGTATATTAATAAATCAGTCTTGCCTAGTTTCCAACAGCCCTCACATCCTTGGAGAATGACTGCCATAGATGTGGGTGAAACATCAGGAGAGAATGCTTCTGGAAGATGGCCAGGCAGCCCAGAAAATTCACAGCAACCCAAGGTTTTGATTTGTATACATGGGGTCACATAAAAATGTCTTGGGCAAAAGGGGATCACAAGCTGAAAAAGTTTGAGAAGCCCTGTCCTGAGGAACTGATAGGAAACTGGCCACAAGCTTTGCTTCCTTCCTCCTTTTTCAAAGCTCTTGGTTTTCCTCTCCTTAGAAAAGGTATGGCCAGTTCTCCATGTCTGTCCCAGGGTATGAATCATTGTAAGAACTGTTACAAAAAAAAAGAAGCATATTTTACAGAAAAACTTCAGGATCAAGGACACAATTGATAGAAGAGTCCTGCAGGAATGGAACTACACTAGATCTGTTTCCAAATTCGCTAATTTCCACTTCTGTGTAATTTCACCCCTCTCAACTCAATTGGATTTCAGCCCTAGAAAACTGTCGGTATTGCCATTTTCAACACAACTGAACACAGTCGAACATGCAGAGTGGCCAATACAATTGAAGCCACAGCCTTTCAATATTTATTTGTTAATGCGCACCTTTTCTTTGTCGATGAGGTTAATAATCCTCCAAAGATAGACTTTTGAGGTAGTCAGCATGTAAGTATTTGTGATTTTCAAAGCATCCTCCAAACAAGACGGACTATCTTGCTTCAGAATGTACCTTACTAACATCTGGAAAACAGAACTGTGTCTTAGATGTACACTTTTATCAGATGTTATAATAAAACATCACTATTGATACACAATCAACATATAAGGTAGTTACAATCATCAGCAATGCATGGGATTTTTTTTTTTGTCACTGAAAGGGCAATCTGGTCACTCACCCATATCATCTGCTTGTCATTTAAGAGATTGGTGTCTCGGATGCCATAGCTCCGCAAAAGTGTCTTCATTTCCATCAGCTGGTAGCCTTCCTGCACCAGTTTCACTCTGCAATACAGATCAGTAGTTCAAGCGATACTTTTGGAGTCATGCTGGTTGGGAGATTTGGGACACTGGAGTCCAAGGAGTAGTGTTTCTCAATTTCTGGTCTTCCAACTTCCAATTTAAATACATTTAACTCGAAGTATCAAGAAAAAAAATCCCTTGAGTCACCTGGTACAACTTAGGAACATGTATCTGTCCGCTTACTTGGCATGATCCATGTGAAGGTATTTCTCCACCAGCAGCTTCATCCTGGGGCTCCAAGGAATCACGGCACCATGCATGATGGCAAGCACTCCTTCAAAGATCAGCTACAAAGGAGAAGGAAAGGACGCAGTGCTAGAACGGCTTCCACCATTGTCCCAGACATTTGCCCTCCTGACTGTGAAGGGGATATTTGACGGTTAGAGTCCATCATACTCACATCGATGTCTGACATGCAGCCCAAGACAACAATGGCCTTTGCTTCCCACATCGTGTGAAAGAGAGAGGCTGACCGTTTAGAGTACCGCTGTAGCAGGTCCTAAGCAGTGTTTTCAAAAAGATTATTACAAAGAAATGAATAGAAATATTGCATATATTAAAGTAAAGTCAGAGTCAGACTTGGCCATGTTAATCCATGCTCTTGTTATATCTCGGATAAACTACTGCAGCACACTCTATGTGAAGTTGCCTTTGAAGACTGTTTGGAAACTTCAAATGTTCCAATGGGCAGCAGCCAGGTTGCTCACCAGAGCAGCGTACAGGGAGCATACAACCCCCTGTTATGCCAGCTCCACTAGCTGCCAGTCTGCCACCGAGCACAATTAAAAATACTGGCTTTAGCCTATAAAGCCCTAAAGAATTCTGATCCATCTTACCTGTCCGAACGTATCTCCCCCTATGATTCACCTCAGAGGCTAAGATCGTCAGGGGAGGCCTTGCTCTTGGTCCCACCTCCTTCTCAGGTGAGGTTGGTGGAGACGAGAGACAGGGCCTTCTAAGTGCTGACCCCTTGTCTATGAAACTCCCTCCCCAGCAAGATCAGCCCCCTCCCTCCTGACCTTCCGGAAAAAACGAAAAACGTGGCTTCGGGACCAAGCCTTTGAGCAGTGCAATAAGAGATTACGAAATAATACAATAACAAATGGAACACCCCTAGAGTATGACTTGGATTGTGTGATTTTAACTGATGTTTTCATGATGATGATTTTACTTGTTTTGGATTTTAATCTGTTGTTTATTTATCAATATGTATATGGGTGGCATCGAATTGTTGCCTACGCAAGGCCACTCTGGGTCTCCTTCGGAGTGAGAAGGACGGGGTACAAGTATGGTAAATTAATTAATTAATAATATATTATTGCTTTACTACCCCGCCTCAAGCAGCAAGGGAGACAGGTAATAAAATTGTCATCATCTTGCACTTTTTAGGATAAATGTTGCTGAATTCCGAAAAAACAACAACAATAATCTATATCTATATCTATATCTATCTATATCTATATCTATATTCTATATATATATAATAAAAGTCAAAGTTTGTATGCGACGGACAGAGGAGGGAAGTGCGGAGGGCGGAAGTGTATGTGCC